TCATTTCTTTTCAATAAAATATTTTTTTGTTAGCGGTTAAGCAAGCTTTTGTATAATACTTAGACAATTACCAAATTAAAATATACGGTAATAATATTGTTATAATATTTCGAAGTGAAATAATTAATTTGATTTTATGTTCGAAAGCTCTTTTGAAGGTGAAAGCTCTATAACTGTCTTTCTTTCCCAGTTAATAAAGCTTTCGGGTACTATTTCAATGCGAATTTTTGTTTCAGTACTCGAAAGTTCTTATGCAGAAGGAAGCTCCTTAACTGTATTTTCCTATTCTTTTTTAAACAAAATATTTTCTAGCTAAGAAAGCTTTCGCATAATATTTCTAAGTGAAATAATATTTTTGATTTAGTGTTTCAAAGCTCTAATGAAGGTGAACACTCTTTAATTGGGTTTTCTTAATTCTTTTCAATAGAATCTTTTTCCCCGGCTAAAAAGGCTTTCGCATAACATTTTAAAGAGAAATAAATGTGTTTTATTTAGCGTTCGTAAGCTCTAACGAAAGTGAATTTTTGTTTTAGTGTTTGAAAGCTTTGCGAATATGGAAGCTTAATGAGTGTTTTTATTTCACTTGAATAAAAGCATATTCGTAATATTTTGAAATTGAAAGCTTCTAGCTATAATTTTCAGTTTGAACATTTCAGTAAAGGTTTTGGCAATTACATATACCTATTAAAAAATGTAGCTGTTATATTTTTTTTGCGTAGAACTTTATGCATTATATTATATTACATACATATGTATGTATGTATTTTTATGAATATAAATTAAGTGGGCGGATTTATTACTTATTGTGGAACTTAAATCATCGCTGAACATAAAATTAACTAACTTAATGTAATGAAAGCTGAAGCTTACATAATAATACGAAATAAATATTTCTTCTATTTGTTGTTGGCATTATGTCACTTTAGTATCCCTTTTTAACTGTAACCTGTAAAGTAAATCAGTTTTCTGTTGAACTCCTCGCTCGAGTCATTCCTAACTACTAGGAAATGTGGAGCTCCATAAAATATAAAGCCACTGCGGCTAGTTTTGGCTCATCCACCTTGATCGCTGTCCATTTTCCTATCAATTAAACAACTAAAAACCTATGATGTTGACTTTGAAGATTTCTTTCTTTCATCATTTGATTATTTAACGGTCTTAAATTTAAACCTTTGTGAATTATGCAGTGTCAAGATGTTCTAGGTTAATTTCAGACCGGTAAGACATTTATGTATATGTTCTATAAAACCGTCTGAATAAATAAAAATGTATGAATTCTAACCTAAAACATTAAATCACAGTCCCAAGTGTTTTAAAAAAAATATGTCTTTGAAATATGTAAAATATTTCGAGGCCTTTGCTTTTAACCATGGCTGACAGAATTATAATAAGAAAAAAAAAATGATATGAGGTAGCAGATAGCAAAGCTTATCAATTTATCTAATAATAATATGTTTTCATCAATATAGAATTAATTTTTAAATTAGTTCTTAATAAAGTTGCGTGATTTGAAGCGATAATTAGTTTTTGTTCAAGACGTAAACTTAATATTAAAAAAAATGATAGCTTTTAACATTTTTGAAAGGTCCACTAGAGCTCATTCGAAAATTTTTTATTTTACTAATGACCTTACAAAATCACTTGAGCTGTAGAAAGTAGATTTGAATTTAAATTTTTGCTAATTAAACATATAACCTGAAATGTTACAAACACATATGTAACCTCAAAAAAAAAAAAATATATACATATGTACATATACAAAATACAATTAATAAACAACTACATGTAAAAATTGATATTTTTTGAAATTTCTTTTCGACAGATTTTAACATTTTAGAAGATGTTAAGTGATAAAACAAAGACAAAAAATAATAAGTAAAAATTCAAAATCTTGCCACGAGTTATTAAAAAAAGACTAATGAAATATGAAATTTTCATTAAATTTTTTGTATAACCGGTTAATAATTGCGTACTCATATATACTACTTAACACTTTTATAATAAATTATGGCAACAGTGTTCTAAGTTGTTTAAAATTTTTGCTCTAGAAACCTTCATGGCTTTGGTTTAAAGAAATTTTAAATATAATATTATTCTTAAAATTGTTTTTTTTTTTTAGTTTGAGGAACATTTGCATTGTTTATCAATAATATAAATATACTAGATTAGATTATTTTAAATTGCTCAGTTTACTATATTTCAACAATATTGTTTTTGTAATTTTTGTATGAAATTTGTAAACTAAGTTTTAGGAAAATTACGCAAGAACAATTGTGTACCCATATATTTACTGTTATTAAAGGTTTGAAGAATATGTTTGCATAGTTGTTTTTATTTTTTTTTGTTTTAGTAAATTTTTATTTTTAGAAAAAAAAATTTGGAACTTTAGTAAAAATTCAAAAATATAAATAAATAACTAAAAAAACTTTACAAACATATTTTTCAAACAAAAAATAACCATTTCCGTGTACACTTTTGGTGATATTTTTTCAACATTTATCTATCAACAGTGTGTATAGTAAGTATGTATACACTTGTTTCACACATTTTTCAGTTTAGTTTTTTATCAACACAAAATTTATATTTACACGAATTCTAACTTCAGAATCACCTCCCGGTTGCCGCTCCGCTCCGAGCCATAGCCACATGCATTATTAGCTGTGAGAGAGTTGCATCTGTATGTCCAACTGCACCCCATAAATTGCTCCACGCCTGCGGCTTCTTGCACATGGCAAATGCAATTAACGCTGCAGTTATGTAAACGTATTATTCAATTATTAAGCAACGTGGCAAATGCTCTTTCAAATAATCGAACAGCTCATGTGAGGCTCCCGGACAATTGGTCAACTCGAGTTCTTGCAAATGACGTAGTTGTATTAGACTGGATAGGCCGGAGGAGGTGAGCAGTGGACAGCCGGCTAGCGAAAGTACTTGTAGATTACGCATGGAGCATAAGTGTTGTAGTCCGAAGTCACGCACTTGTGAACACCAGCGTAGAAAGAGTGCGGTTAGTGAGAGCATGGTCGAGATGTAACCGACACCGATGTCGGTAATGTGTACGCATCTGAAACGATGGAAAGAGACAAAAAAAAGCGATTTTTCATAAGTTGTACAATATAGCAAATCATAATTATTAGATTATGTTTAAGATGGAAATGTATAGAGACTAGTTTTATAAGTTTAAGGTAACTTTCTCATGTATCTGGTGTATACGGCGGGTCATATACGAATTAGGCCGCCTCTAAAGTACTTCTGGATTCCTAGATAAGTTTTAAAAACGACTAAGCACTTCAAGGATATTCAAAGATGCCCTTGAACAAAGATTTGTATGTTTTTATTAAATAATCAGAGCTCCATAATCATACCGAAGAGACCGAGAAGAGAATAAAAAGCTCAAATTTTTTTAGAATATCTTAGCATGTTCAGATCTAATGTACGATGAGAAATGCTGAATGATACTGTAGCTTCGGTACAGCCGAAGTTAATGTCTTTTCTTGTATTTTTTTTTCATCAGATTTCTAATCTAGCATGGTCATATGTTAAAGTCTGACTCTAGGGGCATCCATAAAATAATATCATACGATAATATACTAAAATAGACTGCACCTTGTTATGTAGGTTTTAGAGACCAAACCTCGAACAGTATTTGATCCAATTTTAAAAAAATGTAGGTTTATCGAGAAACTCTAAAGATATTATGCGATATTACATAGTATATACCATCGCTATATCTGTAATCCTATTAACCGTATTTTCCGGATTCTCCCTAATCGGGTCCATTTCTTTAAATTGCTGATATAATTTTTGATATTTTACGTATAACGTTCTTAGTTTTTTTTAAACTTACCTATCCAACGTCAGCTCCTCCAGCTGATTCAGATCACAGGCAATATACTCCAGCGATGCGTCCGTTATGCGCGGACACCAAGACAAATCGAGGGCACGTAACTTCTGCAGATTCTCGGCAATCAATTCGACGCCGTCATCGGTGAGTTTACTGCAACCGGATAAACTTAATACCGTTAAGTGGGGCAAAGAGTGCACTGCAACGAGAGAAGAATGGAAGAGAAAAAATTACAAGCCGACACTTTTTGAATAGTGGAGAAAATAATAATATAATATATATGAAGATATGTATATGGAAAAAAGAGATTACACACACACCTATGCAGTCATGGAAATTGTATGGAAAATTTCAAAGCACGAGTGATGAGTCATTGGCAGCATGAATGAATGAGAAATTCGTTGCGCAACAACACGCAGCGAAAGGACGAAAAGTTTGTCACACTCAGAACCCAAAACTGGGTTGCATGGAAGGAAAATTGTGTATGTATATATGTATTTATGTGTATATATGACTGTATTTACTTCAGTGCACTCATATTTTATTTCACACAGCAGCAGTTTGTTGCGCTGCGACAGCTGAACCACACCAAAGTAATGTTGCAGCAGTCACGTCAACGCGTTGCAATAGTAACAACAACAAAATGCATTGCAGCTATTTTCGCAGAATAGTGTTGTGAAACGAAAAATACTATATATTATATTTGTATGAATGAATGGTAAGTAATGCAAAATATGCAGATGACATACTTTGTCGTGGCCGCACTGACGAAACAGCCAATGGGCGGCAGCGGCAACAGTAGTAACGGTTGTACTTAGTAGTCAGTGTGATTATTTCGTACATACATACAAACACACACACATACGTTCAAGCAGTTGAAGGATTGTCTAAAAGACAAACAGTAAGATAACGTCGCGTTGCAGTGTTGTTGTTGTGTGGAGGGACTGCCAGCGTGGCAGACGGCTGACCACTCGTGGAGACAAAGCTGATTTGTCTAGCTATATGAAACCGCATGAACGCGCTCGTCTCATATTGCTGTTACCCCAGTAATTTATTCATGGCGCACTCAATTTCTTCTTCAGCTTGATGGCGATACTACTACTATATTATTATATATTAGGAGAATTTATACGAAGGTATAATATTATATGTTATTTTTATTTGGGGCATTTTACCCTTACAGCAGTCCGGCGGTGCGTTTTCTGCAATTTTTTTTGGATTGACATTGGAGATTATCTGTGAAAAGAGTCACTTTATTCACAATTGGCCTTCTAAAGGCCTAGGTGCGTCGTTAGACATCTGTCCTAAATACCTACCTAGCCGAATTAAACTCGGAGTTTTAATTCTCTGAACTGTTTTAAAGTTATACGGCTTGCAGATATGTACTTTCAACTAACTTAAAGAAAGAAATTACTTTTCTAATAGCGGTCATCCCATGACATGCCATGAGAAACCTCAAAGCTTATCTCTGTTATAAAAAAGTTCCTTTTAAAAACCATTCTTCGTTTCGAGATGGTCCAAGCTTTAGAAGAGAATAGAATAGTGATTAAAGTTACACTGCGATCTATGGCGTAACATAGAGTCAGCACCCTTGTATAATACATTCAAGGATCCTGCTAGGCGCTAGTGAAGGGTTATGCTACCTTCTCGGATATGTGAATTCTAGGGCATTATTGGTAAATCTACATATTGGTTGGAGTTGGTTACTTACTTTCGTATGTCTGTTTTCACATGTACTTACGGTGTAAATTGAATTTAGGGTTTTTATCACAAATTTTCTTGATCTGTTTCTGATTTAAGAATGGTCTAACATTGTGTTAAAGTGGTTTTGTCTTGTTTTCTTAGAAGGGTGAAGTTTCAAAAATGAAATTAATTAATTATTATCAAAATAACGGCATTACTTAACAATAGTATATAATACAATGTTGTATGCTTCTTAAAGGATACAAGCTACATATATTATGATATATTTTAATGCAGATTTATTTATTGTCATCCTTTGTACTTTTTAACTTTTGTATTTTCACTTGTTTTTTGCCTCATTCTTCTAATTTTTCGTGTCATGATGCAAGACAATGTGTTGTTGAAAAATTATGCACCTGCTACATCAATGGAGTTAAGCTGTGCTGACTCAGTTCAATCAGCTCCAACAGGTTTATTTTAACGCATTTTTTTCAAAATTACACTTTTTAAATTTGCCTGAGGGATATCTCGGTTCCCTATACAGTTGTTATTTAATCTGATCCAACATAGAATTTTGGCAACCCAAAAACTACCAACATTTTTGGTAAAATTAAATTTTTTTAACGCCCGCCATTTTGTCAATTTTAATTTGTTTCGTGGGTCATTTTATGGACAATACCTTCTTGTTGAGAATTTTTAAGCGCCGTCGGAGATCACGTGTAACTCGCGGAGTATATGTAAATGTAGTCTTAGTTTTGTTTAAATTCCCAAAAATCGCAGTTTTTTAGGTTTTCACTCTAGAAGGGCCACCTAACGGTTTAGAGAGGTCGTTAAAAATTAGGGTATTGAATAAAGTGCTTCTAACACGATCAAAGGTTTGTTATAATCAGCCACAAAGGGAAATGAACTTGAATCTTGGCAAATATATTAAATATTAGAGTTTTCGCTAGATCACAGCAAGTGATATAAAACTAGAGATATCAAAAGTAAAATATACGATATACCTTAAAATGTATTCTATATTTATATTTTTATTATTCGAAAAATTAATTATAATACTTTTAAAATAAGTACGATATGTAATATTTCCTGAGGTAGTTATCAATACTAATATTATATAATATACATACGTATATGCCTTATGTTTTGAGCAGACTGGTGAGTGCTTACACTCACAGCTTTTTTTTTAATAAAATAAACAAAATAATAATAGTACTCAGTTCGTGTACCCCGGTACTCGGTTGCTAAAAGACGTCGGTAAAGTTGGTTACTAAAATAAGGGTTATATAGAAAATCTGTAATACTGTTTGGTAAGCCATGGTAGTTGGCAACTCTAGGTTATGAGACTAAATGGTAACTCTGGTGAGTAAAATTTGTTCGTAACTAACGGGTATGTTTGTTTTTAAAGAGAAAGCTTTTATTTGGATACGGACATCGTTATTACCCTCGTCAGATTATTTATTAAAGAATTTCTCTAATACTAAGCATTTATCAAAATATTACGGTTACTGATGATGTTTTCTATACAAAGTATTGAATATAAGGACCTCATTATCCTTTTTGTTGCTGCCCTTTCATTTTTTTTTTATATACCAGAAAAACTTCATTTATTTCCCATTATGGCAATAAAATAATTTGTATTTATATGTTTGTTCTTTTGTTATCCTTGTGAAATGTCCTTATCAAACACACTGTCTACCACTGATTGTTGGCATATTAATATAACGGTATTTGCGTTTGATTTATTTCCCAGAAACTTGTTTGCTTTCGACTTTCGGTGTGCTCTTTATAATTTTCGTGTTCGTTTGTGTGTGTCCCAAATTTATTTTATTTGCAAACTAACATCAAATGATTGAAACTTTGATTGTTTTGGTTTGTTTGGCCATCCATAATGTCATACAAACAGCTATGATGATATTAAGCTGACCAAAAGCATGTTAATTTGTGTAGAATCAAATAAACCCATAAGAGATCTTTATCTCTTGGGTTGAATTTATTTTCGTTTGCTTTATTAAAGTTTTTTTTGATAAGGGTCGGTGTTTCCTAAATTTTTCTTCATTGTATATAATATTATATACATTATTTATACTAGGGTGGCTAAAAAAAAAACAAATATATTATTTTTAATAAATATATTTTTTTTTTTCGCCTGGTACACAGAAAAATAGTAATATTATAATTTAAAAAAAATGTATGTATATAAATATATATAATATGCATTCATGTTTGACGATGAATATCTCTTAACTTAATCGAAGAATTATACGAAAAAATTTTGTAGAGTATTAAATTTCCTACAAAATTATGAGTTTTTTGATTTGTAATGATTTTTTTCATTGAGTTATAAAATTCCTTTGAAAAAAAATTAAATCTTATAAACTTGTAAACGATTAGGTGAACGAAAAAAATTTAAGAGACCTTTATTATAGAGTATTCAATTTCCTACAAAATCTATGAAACGAGATATTTTATTATTTTTATATATTTAGTTAGAAGAGACTTGAATTTCTATCTGGTAATTTAAAACAAAATAGAAGACTACAAGTATAAGGCGGACAGGAAGGTCATATTACATTTAAGAGCTCATACTTGGAGAGACCTTCTTAGAGGAGTCTAAGAACCTTTTTTCAGGGTATCAAGCGAATTTTTTTTGACCCATCCTGATGTATACTATAATTTTGCGCGATGTTGTACAAAATGCAGGAAAAATCATTATTGGCATACTTTTAAAATCTTCAGGGTTGCATGTATGCATATAGTAGATAAGCTGTAATCCGATTTTGACGGAAACCGCTTAAATGCAAATACAAAATGGACGTGCTTGCTAACAAGATAATACTCACATATACATATAACATTTGTTATGCATATGTTAGCAAATATGTATGTGCTTCAAAGTGTGGCTTGTGTTCCTGTACTCTTGTCAACAACAGACACCAGCGTCCATTGCCGTAAGTTGTCATTGCAAAATATTAATATGTCTATTGCATGCAGAATCGTCCATATTTACTTGATATTATCGCAGTAGCGTAGCTATAATGACATTAATATAATACATGGGTTAGTGTTTATATTTCTGGACTAACAAGAGAATTGTTGGGATTAGTGGTTGAAACCACTTTTATTGGTCGTCCAAATATTCTTTAACAAATGAATGTTCGAAAATCTTTGTCCGGCCGTTTAAAATAATTTTAAATATCTGTACTATCATAAAGAGGAACAATTTGATTGTTTCTGTGAATTGAATATGCTCCGAAATACTAGACGCATTAGAAAATTCGAAAATTTCTAATATAATAAGTTCGATGTTCACATCTCATCGTCTATATGAGTTACTCTTTCCCCAAGTTGAATGGCAAGTGGAGTGACCTGCTAGTAATATCTAATTTGCTATCGTAAATCATTTATTACTTGGTCTAAAAGTGTAGTCATAGGAGCCAAATTTGGGCTCTAACAGGTTTGAAATATTTTTTATCAGAGGTATTTTGAAAAGTTTAGTTATCTTAAGGAAGAATA